TATATATAAAAAAAACGGTACCTTTGTGTTTGTTCAGAAGTTTATAGCCTTCACAATATCGCCCTCTGGATGTGGTCATTCTGGCAGTGTTTACGTAAGAATACGTGGCAGCGAAATCAAATTCCTTTTCCCCATCCCACCAGCCCTTGCTTTTGGCATATTCCCTCAGTTCTGGGTGTTCTCTGTCAATCTTGGTTGTGATAGAGAGCTGGTTAGAAATATTCCGTACACCTCCTGTTTGTAAGGTAAGGAAAGAATCATTTTAATACATTGAATGCTTTTTCTTGGTATTTTGTTTACAATTAGCTTACTAAAGTAAATTATGCTCCAAAGAGTTTCCTACGAGACCTGAGGGTCCTGTGGTTTTATTTTTGGCCCTCTGTCCCTAGCTATGTGTATCCTTCCAACTGAAATTCCACTGGCACTCAGGTCTGACTCACTTCTAGTTCCAACATCATACTTCAGGTTCTGTCCTGGTCATTCTCATCTTTACATTCTTCTTCTTAGCCCTCCAAAGCTTGTCCTTCTAACTCTGCTGGAAGAATTGACCACTTGAGGGCCTGATGCATCGATCCTGTTGAGTTGGTGCTACCCTGGCACCAAATGAAATGATCACTGATTGCCACCATCATTAAGACCATAATGCTATCATTCTCATGCTGACCCTCTTGCTGCCCTCTGTTTTCCAAGTGCAGAAGTGGTCCTCCGACTCTGAAAAAGCCCCCTGTGACTCGGCTCCTCTGTGAAAAGGCTAGCTATTCCACACTGATGCCTTAATGAAATGATAAAAATGGAGAACTGCTAATCATCATTGCGTTTGAAATGTTTAAAACAAAAAGCATCATCCATACCTTCTACTTTTTCTGCTGCCCAGTATTTTCCTGATGTCTCCAGCACCCACGCTTCCTTTCTGTCAGCTATCAGAAAGCTGTTATAGTATGTAAATGCCATGTGGCTCTCCATGCAGTTTCCTCCCTGTCCATATTTTTCTAGCAAATCGACTATGACAGTAAGAGCCTTTTCAGCTGTGTCCGCTCTCTCAAGTCCGAGCCTAAAACGAAAGGAAGATGTTATACTGGGAACTATAACCTTTACATAAAACTATACAGTCCAAGTATTCAAACTGACGTGGAGTGCTATTTCTATATGCACTCAATGCTTGTATGCTCCGGTAAGAGAAAGGAGCAAGTCACTTAAAGGGCTTGTTTGAACTAGGTCCTCTTTGTCCTTGACACGGGGAAAAACAACCAAATGGCACTGCAGAGAAGCAGGGAGAGTGCCTAGGACAGGAAGTGCCTGCAAGACCTGTGCAGGTATTTTACTGACAGTCTGCTGTACGTTAATAAGAATTACACTGGCACCCAGTAAGACAGGCACAAGAAGCTGAATTATATATGGGAAGATGTATAGCTAAGACTGAAACTTAAAAATGCGTGTGAAAGATGGGGGCAATAGGAAATCAGTACAGACCCTAGAAAAAGGCCCAAACCCCAGTTCCTGAGGTCCAGCTATGCTCTTGTTCAAAGTCTTGTTTCAGTTTAGCATCAACTTTGTCAACAGAAAAAAACATCAGATGATTTTCCTGCTGCATTCTGTTCTTGTGCGTGACACCTCTCATAGGCTCTCAGCTCCTGGCACAGATCTAATGCCTGTGCCAAGAAATACTTTACTTTTAACCGTGGCTCTAGAACAGCAGGCAGACATGCCTTCTGACAGTGAAAGCACGTATTCCCCATACAGCTCAAGCCAAAGGTTTCAAAACTAGGTTCCGAGTTGGGTACCATTTACCACAACAGCCCGTGCAAACCTTACGAGGTCCATGCCCAGGAGAGCTTCCTCATCGCCCACCTCCTCTCTGCCCCACACCGCTTCGTTCCCGATGCACACGCCGTGCTCGTTGGCGCCCATCTCAGCCCCCCAGAGCCAGGCGGGCCGGCTCAGGACCACGGCGCAGGTCTTCTCCGCTTGCTCGATCGTGATGTAGGTGCACTGCAAGAAGTCAGAACGCGACACATTTATCTTTCACGCCATCGCCTTGGCGAGCACCTCCCCTGGGTTAATCCGCCAGATCGCGGGCTAAAAATACACAGAAAACAGGACTGAAGGGTGGGTTCGTCCCGAGGGACTCGCC